CCCAAACAAGTTGACAATCAAGATTAACTATTACATTATCCCAGTCCTGGCCCTGTCCTAGACCTGAGTCTTGTTCTGATCCTGGATCTTGTCATAATCCTACATCCTATCCTGACCCTGGTTCCTACTACTCTTATCCTGATCCTGGGTCCTATTCTCATTCTGGACTCTATCCTGATCCTGGGTCTGATCCTGATCATGGGCCCTGTCCTAGACTTAGGTCCTACTACTGGGACCTAGGCCACCTGCCCCAGGGTCCTGCGCTGGTTCTCTGAGTCCTGTCCTGAATCTGGGTCCCATCCTTATCCTGAGCCCTTCTCTGCCCACAGGTGGTGGCTCAGGATGAAGTTGTCTGTTCCAGAATGTCCCCATGGACTGTCCCCTGTGGTTTCCATGAACAACCCTGGGGCTCCACACCCAGGCTAAGATCAAGGAAAGACCAACTGCATGATGAGACAGTGCATAGACAGAACAGGGCCTCCAGTACATGTCCACCCGGAACCAAGTTAACATGAGGTGGCACTAGGTCAGGCTGTCTCCAAACCAATGACTTAGGTCTTTGTAAGGAAAATGTAGGGAGATTTGAGATGCAGATACAGAGGAGGATGACATGTAAGAATGGAGGCAGAGATGGGAACAATGCAGAAATGAGCTGAGAATTCCCAGCAGCCAACAGATGCCAGAAGAGACAAGGAAGGTCTTCCTCCATGGGAACGTGGCCTTGATCTTGGCTGTCCAGCCTTCAGAACTGTGAGAAAATAAAAGTCTGTTGTTTTAAGCTGCCTGTCTGGTCACTCGTTACAGCAGTGCAGGGAAATGAATGCAGGTAGCAGAGATGAACATGGCATCAAAGCTGAGTTTCCTGTTCCCATCTCTCCAGATCACATAGAAATGGCAGAGGCCCTGCTATTTTTTAGAGAAAATGTGAGGAAAATAATAAACCAAAGGAAAAAAAGCAAAATATGGCACAACTGAGGTGATTTTAAGATTAAACAAACATAAATTTCCTAAGGAAATGGCACAAAGAAGAAGCAGGAAGTAGCCATGTGTCCAGCCGCACACCTGACCTGGCCAGGTATAAGGCTCCAGGCTGAGGAGGCTCCCACCTGCACACCTCCCTCTCCTCCTGCTCCTCTGACCTCTCCACCTCCATCACCAGAACCATGACCTGCTCTGGCTGTTCCGGAGGCTGTGGCTCCAGCTGCTGCTGTGTGCCCGTGTGCTGCTGCAAGCCCGTGTGCTGCTGTGTGCCAGCCTGTCCGCTGCTGTGTGCCAGCCTGTCCCTGCTCCAGCTGTGGCAAAGGGGGCTGCGGGTCCTGTGGAGGCTGCAAGGAAGGCTGTTCCTCCTGTGGGTGCTCCAAGGAGGGCTGTGGGTCCTGTGGAGGTTGTAAGGCCAGCTGCTGCCAGCCCTGCTGCTGCCTGTCCAGCTATTGCCAGTCCAGCTGCTGTGTCCCTGTGTGCTACCAGTGCAAGGTTTGAGGCTCTGTTCTCAGATCTAGTGTGAGTGTGATATGTCAGCCCTCCCCAGGAAGTGACCAGAGCTTCAACTCAGTTCCTCGCTATTGCACACACCCAGGGGTCATGTCCCTAAGTCCTGAGGAGGTAATGATCCTTTGTAGTCCTTGGCCTGTCCTGTGACCCTCTTTCCCATCACTCTCGTGCCCCACATTTTCCCTGCTCCCAGATCCCTAGAATCTCATCTGACAAGACCTTTGCCAGGTTTAACCCAGCCAGGGCAGGGCTCTCCCTGTCCATCACTCCTGCTGCCCTTCTTTCTGCTGTCTCCCCAACATGGGGTCAGATCTAGAGCAGCCCTATGTGGGGATAAGGGAGCCTCAGGCCCCACAAGGCTCCAGGCTCCCTCTTCCTCCCAGAAGGTGGTTGCCCTTGGCAATTTCCCTCAGCAAAGGTCCAACAGGCCCTGAAACCCTTTCAATAAATACATCCTCACCCAATGCTTGCTCTTACTGTGGTTCTTCGCCTATAGCCTTTGCTGATGAGCAGCCTGTCCTTAGGTCATCTTGCATGTTTCCTGAGCATCCATGTCTCAGGCTTTGGTAAGCTCTGGGGATGCAGCAATAAGAGGGACAGAAGCCCTTGTCCTGGAGCTCAGGTCCAGGCTGGGTCAGCTTCTGAGAAGCAGTCCTGGAAAAGGAGGCTGCCTCTGGAAATGCTTGACACACATCCTGGGACCCATGCTATGCTCTGGGCACGTGGCTTTGGGCCTATGAGAAGCAGGTTGCCAGCCCGCGGGGGAGGTAATAGATGCTATTAAAAACTGGGAGCAAAGGCTTCAACCTGCATCAAAGGCTCAAGCTATAAGGGGGAAGGTCAAGGCATGCCACAGCTGCAGGAGGCAGCTCTCTCTTGCATCCTCTGACCTTCTGGCCCTTCCCCTGGCCAGGAGCAGGGCCCTGTGAAGACCAAGGGACAGGGATGGTCTTATTGGAGCAGACATAGTGTTTTCCACATGAAGAATTCACCCCAGCAGCTTCCAGTTGTAGAAGCACAAGAAGATACACATTCTGGAAACTCTCTGGCTTAAAAGCATGCAGTTGTTGGGTAAAACAAGAAACATCTGTTTAAATGCTTAGCCAAGCTCACAAAAATAAGGACAATTGTTATGAGACGAACAAATTGGGTGCTGGAGGTCAGGCATGAGGTTCTGGATCAGAGCCCAGTCCCCTGCTGCCATCAGACCAGTGGCTGTGTCCTTCCTGCTGCCGTGGCCACTTTGCATTGATAAAAAACTTCTTTGGAGCAGTGGGAATGGCTGCTCATGGCTGAGCGCCTCCTGGAGGCAGCCCCCTGGCCAAGAGCCTGCACAGCCCAGCACCACAAGAGGACCCACTTCGATGCCCCAGCAAGAGTGACCACTCTCTCCAATTCCCTTGTCAAATATGTTTTGCTGTTACTGAGCCTCACAAACGCCGCTGGGCAGTGTGCACTTCTGTGGCTGCGTCCACCCAGGAAGTGTGGTGAGACTCATCCAGGCTGTCGCACCAGACAGCAGCTGCACTGCGTCTGGGGAAAGAATATAGCACAAGGTTCTCAAAGATTTCAGAGCCAGGTGGGAGGGTGCGATGCAAGAGGCTTATCTCGGGCCTGCAAAGTGAATAATTAGTGGCAAGGGCTCCTAAAGAGGCCACGCCCTCAGAGGAAAGGTGGGCTGAGGACAACCTCCTGCTATCAAAAGCAGATAGTGAGGGTGCTGGCTTCGGCAGCACATATACTAAAAGCAGATAGTGAGGAAAGATGTTTTCTTGAGTCTGTGGAGGGCGATAAAACATCTCCCCCAGGAGTGGTAGCGTCAGGCTCACCCTCACAGAGGCTTTCGGCCCACATGTGCATTCATTTTGTAGCCCAGAAAAGCTGTTAGTTAGAAAGTCAGTGGTGCCCAGAGCAGCCTAGCAAGAACAAGGGAAAAATGGAAACATAGGGACCCAGCAAATGTGAGCTCACACAGAAAGCAAAAACCTACAAGAAAAGAAACAACCATGATTGAGAGGCAGCAGGCACAATCTGCGACTACAGAGGCCGAAGACCTGACAACTGATCTCACAGGATACAGGGTCCCCACTGCCTGGGGACCACAGCACCTATCATCAGAGCCCAAGGTCCCTCCATCCGGGGTTCCAGGTAAACACACAGGCAAGTAGACCCCTTCTCCAAAATGAGTTTGACATTGTTAACAAAAACCGCAGCGTGTCTGGGGCTCCAGGTGTGTGATCTATGAGACAATACAGCGTGAGGGGCTGTGGAGAGGGGCCGCACTGTTAGGCTTCCTCAGCCCTCTCAAAGTGGCCATGTGTGACCAAGGAAGCGAGTACGTGTTTGGCATCCCTGGAACGACATAAAGATACATTCTCAAAGAGCACAATGAAGATGGTTCTTTGAAAAGATCAAGACCTTTGATAAAATTCTAGCAGGACTGGGCTGGGGATTTAGCTCAGTAGTTTGGCCGCCTGCTGCGCAAATGTAAGGACCCGAGTTCGATCCCCGGTACCAAAAAAAAAAAAAAAGAAGAAATGAAAAGAGAAGCCTAGCTTAGTGGCTCATGCCTATAATCCCAGCACCCTGGGAGGCTGAGGCAAGAGGATCAGAAGTTAGAGCCCAGCAAGGGCTATTTAGTGACCCAGTGAGACCCTGTCTCAAAATAAAAAAGGGCTAGGGCCAGGGATTTAGCTCAGTGGTTCCACCGCCTGCCTCTCAAGCACAAGGTCCCCAGTTCGATACCTGGTACAAAAATAAATAAATAAATAAATTAATTAATTAAAAAGGGCTAGGAATTAGCTCAATGTGGGTCTTGGGTTCAATCCCTAGTACTGCAAGGGGAAAAAAGGGGAGAAGTGATGAAAAAGGAAAATCCTACAGATGGGATCACACACTAACAGAAAAGCTTCTGCACAGCTAAGAAAGCAATCAATGGGGGAGAAAACCTTCTACAACTTCTCAGTTTATGGATGCTAAATATCCAGAGCACAACCATGTGTGGTGGCGCATGCTTGTAATCCCAGCCCTGGGGAGGGAGGCTGAGGCAGAAGGCTCGCCTGGGCTACATAAAAAGTTCAAAGCCAGCCTAAAGTACATAGCAAGACACTGTCTCAAAACAAACTAAAAAATCCACAATACACAAGGAACTCAAAAAATTAACCAAAAAACCCAAATAATCCAATTTAAAAGTAAGCTAGTAAAAGAATGCTAAACGGATTATTTGAATGGCCAACTATAAATGTTCTTTCAATTGGTGCCTTTAAAGCTGTCTTTTAATCTTTTCAACTGCTCATTTTTATTCCTCCATTTAGTCCAGTATTTTTCCAGTCTATATTTGTTTTTAATCATTAAATACTTTTGTCATGGTTTTGGAGGACTAAGCTGAGGAACATTTATTTTTTAACTTAAGCAGTTTCATGTTTATTTTCATATTTAGCTTTCTTAGGCTTTTAAAAACAACAACAAAAATCAGCTTTAGACCTTCAAATGAACTCGACCGAGGGAAAAATCAGTTTGATTTGAAGACATTCCTTTGCCTTACATGGTCTTGTCTTTGACATTCTGTATACCTTTATTATTAGGTTATGAATTATTTATATACCAAATATTACACTTTTAAATATTTTCATGTTCTCTGATCTTTAGAATTATTTATGTTAAAATTTTAATTGGAAAGCCCATTGCCTACTTAAGCTCAGGACTTTATGACCTCAGAATGGAGTGCCTTTGAGTTCTACATGCTAACAGAAATTTCATAGTAACTGTACATGAGGTTGGAGGATCTAATATTGAAGCTGATAATAGAAGCATTAATGTAAAAACAGAACTTATTTTTGTCAAAAATGAGATGTACGCTTGTCATGATTTAAGTATGTTGGCCTCTTGTGTTTATTGCTATTTTGAGACATGCCCACTTTCCTTCCAGTCAGAGTAAGTACTTTTGTGGTTAATGTATATTTTTAGTATGTTTCTAAAAATGGGAATCATTTTTATGTATCTCTGCAAATAATAAATGCCCATTTAAAAGTAAGCTAGTGATTTGAATAGGCACTTATCAAAAGACAGAATACAAATGGCCAACAAATATCTGAAAAATCATTAATCATTAACATTGAGAAATCCAAATCAGGCCAGGGATTTAGCTCAGTGGTTCCGCTCCCTGCCTTGCAAGTGCAAGGTCCCAGTTCGATAGCTGGTACCAAAAAAAAAAAAAAAAAGGAAATGGAAATCAAAACCACAATGAGGCTGAGGGTGTAGCTCATGGTAGAGTACTTGCCTAGCCATGCCTGAGGGCCTGGGTTACATGCCCAGCACAGTAAAAGAACAAATAGACAAAACTCACAATGAGGATCATCTCACCCTATCTTACAATAATAACTTCTATCAAAAAAAAAAGGAAAGGAAGAAAGCTAATCCAGGGGCCCCACATCTGTAATCCTAGCTGCGTGGTAGGCTGAGGCAGGAAAGTTGCAAGTTTGAGGTCACCCTGGACAACTTAGGAAGACCCTGTTTTTTTGTTTTTTTGTGGGTTTTTTTGGTACTGGGGTTCAAACTTGTGACCTTGAGCTTTTGAGGCAGGCACCAGAACCACTGAGCTAAATCCCCGGCCCCAAGACCCTGTCTTAAAAAAAAAAATTTGTTAAGGAGCTGGGAATGTAGCTCAGTGGTATAGAGTGCTTGCCTAGGATGTGTGAGACCCTGGGTTTGATCCCATTACCAAAATAAAATAAATATATATATTAAAAAATAAAGAATAGCGAGCTGGCAAGGATGTGGAGAAAGGGAGCTCTTTTATATGCTGTTGGTGGGAATGTAAATCAGTAGTCATTATGGAGAACAGCATGGTGATTCCTCAAAAAACTAAAATTAGAACCACCATAAGACCCAGCTAACCCACTTCGAGATGTGTATCCTGTGGAAATAAAGCCTGTGCACCAAAAAGATGCCTGTACATCCATGTTTACTGCAGTGCTATTCACAGTAGCTAAGGTGTGGAACCAGCCTGGATGCCCATCAGTGCATGAGTGCATAAAGCAATAGAGTACATACACACAATGGGGTATTTTTCAGTGATAAAGGAAAATGAAGTCCTGTCATTTGCAGGAAAATGGTTGGAAACAGAGGACAGGATGCTAAATGAAGTAAGTCAGGTGTAGAAAAACAAGGCCTGTGTGCTCTCTCTCATATATGGAAGCTAAAATATGTTGACCTGAATGTAGAGCAGTCATTAACAGAGACTAGAGGGGTGGGGGTGGGCGGGAAAGGGGCTGTGTTTGATCTGTGCATGATGTAGGCAAGCTTTGAGTGATCCCTTTGCACCCCATTAATATGTTCAACTAATACCTGGTAATAAAAAATAAAAAGGATAATGTGGTAGTACTACAAACATCTCTGCCCATACATACATTTGGAAACTAAGATGAAAGGGACCAATTCTCTGAAAGACACAAACCCCCAAACTCAAGAAGAAATAGCCAGAGTAATCCTTTTGTCTATTAAAGAGCTGGAACTTGTAATTAAAAGCCTCTCACAAGGAAATCTCTGGGTCTGGATGGCTTCACTGGTGAATTCAGGGAGCACGTAACCTATAAGCAAGCAGGAATAAATATGCATGTATATGTGTGTGTCTCTATATAAACCAGAAATCAATGCACCGAGAACAGCAAAACAATGGAGAATTTGATAAAACTAAAAACTAGTTCTTTGAAAAGATCACTAAAAGTGGTAAACTGTTAGCAGGACTGGGAATGAAAGAGAATAGACATTAATGACTGGCATTAGGGTTGGAGGAGGGCTGTCAGACCCACAAGCATTATAAGGGTGTTAGGGGAACACTATATATATTATATTATATCTATAACACTATAATATTATAAACACATAAATTTGACAATTAAGATGGAATGGGCTAATTTCCTTTTTTGGGAGGGTGGTTAATTTCTTGAGAGACATGAACAACCAAACTCTCTCAAGAAGAAAGAGACTGAACAACCTCATATCTATTAAAGACATTTCAATCATAGTTTGAAAAAAAAAAAAGGTTCACAAAAGCAACAAGTAAAAATCTCCAGATCTGGATAGTTTCACTGGTGAGTTATACAAAACCTTTAAGGAAGAAATAATATAAGTTGCACACAATCTTTTCCCAAAAATAGGATAGAAAGGAGCACTTTCCAACTCTCTCACCCTCTCTCTTTTTTAAAGGGGGAGCATGACTCGACTGGAGACAAAAACCAAATGCATTTCAAGAAGAAAAGGGAGAAAAGGGCAGAGCCTCCTCTGTGATGAGCATGGGTACCATATTCTCCGCAGAGCATGGCCCGCCCAGCCCAGCTGCTGTACTAGGCCAGGTGAGGTACGACAGCTGTGCAGCCTTGATCCCGGAGTGTAGGCGACCTAGATGTTTAAAATCAGTGCAACTGGGCACACAAAAGGACTAAAGAGGAAGACTGCAGGATAATAGCAATAGATGCAGGCAAACCCACTGACCAAAATCCAGCATCCACTCACAATAAAAGCTCTCAACCAAGCTGGGGGTTTAGCTCAGTGGTTCCGCCGCTTGCCTTGCAAGTCCAAGGACCCCAGTTCAATCCTCAGTACCCCCCCTCAAAAAAAGCTCTCAACCAGTTAGTAGGATGAAGCTTCAACCTAGTTAAAGGCACCCACAAGCCAGGCATGATGGCACAGGCTTGGGATCCCAGCATTCCGAAGGCTGAGACAGGAGGATTGTTGAAAGTTCAAGGCCAGCTTGAACTACATAGCAAGCCCCTGTCTCAAAAAAACCAAAATAATAATAATAAATTTTAAAAATAGAGACATCCACGAAATCATTATAGCATGGTCATAGGTAGTGGTCAAAGGGTGAATGCTTTGCCCCTGGGATCAGAAACAAGACAGAGGGCCATTGTTGGTAGCTCCGATGTGGCCCTGAAAGACACAGTTAGATGGGAGGAGGGGAGAGGTGTAAAAATGTAAATGGAAAAATGAAGCTACTCTACTTCTCAGCCAACCTGATTGTATACTCAGAAAATTTATCACATCGAACTAAGACTCCTAGAATTAATAAGTGAAATTATCAAGGGCACAGGGTCACTTTATAAAAATCAATCATTTTAATGTAACTCTACAATAGCAGTGAAGAGTTGGAGATCCAAATTATTAAAAACATCCTTTAAAGTAGCTCCAAAACAAAGAAGCATATGAAAAAACTTCTTGGCATCCTATGTTATTAGGGAGTTGCAAATTAAAACAACAAGACACCACTATTCTTCTATGAGAACAGTTACAGCACTGACAATTGAATTCTGGTGAGGAGATGGGGCAACAGGGATTTTCACTCATTGGTAGGGGGGATGCAAACTGATTCAGCCACTTGAACCTTTCTTTTCTTTCTTTCTTTTTTTTTTTTTTTTTGGTACCAGGGATCAAACTTGGGACCTTGTGCTTTCAAGGCAGGCGCCGGAACCGTGGAGCTAAATCCCCGGCCCTGATTCAGCCACTTGGGAAGACAGTTTGGGAGTTTCTTACAAAGCTAAGCATACTCTTACCACACTCTATCCACTGCATTCCTTAGTATTTACCCAAATGAGGACATGTCTATGCAAAAACCTGCACATGCGTGTTTATGATAGCTGTATTCATAATCACCAAAACTTGAGAGCACCCAAGACATCCTTCAGTAAGTGAACTGATAGACAAACTGTACATCTAGACAATGAGATGTTATTCCATAATAGAAAGAAATTAACTATATCTCAAACATTAGACACAGAATGCAATATGATCCAGCAAATCCACTTCCAGGTTTACAGCCAAGAGAACTGGAAGCAAGGCCCCAAAGAAGAGGTACTTGTGCAACCAATGTTCTCAACTGATTTGTCCACAACAGCTGAAATGTAGAAGCAATCCAAGAGTCCATTAATGAATAAATAGATAAGCAAAATGTGGTCCGTCTATAAATAGAATATTATTACTCAGCCTCAAGAAGGACGGAAATTCTGACACATACTAGAGCATGTATGAACCTCGAGGAATAAACCAGTCACAAAAGGACAAATATTGTGTGATCCTACTCACTGAGGTTTCCGGTGGAGTCAGATTCATAGAGACAGAAAGTAGAACGGTGGTGCTGGGAAAGCGGGTAGGGAATCAGCATTTAATGAGGGCAGAGTTTCAGTTTTCCAAGATGAAAAAGCTCTGTCAGTGGCCCGTGGTGATGGTTGCACAACAAACGGAATGTGCCGCATGCCCCTGAACTGTGCACTAAAAATGACTAAGGTGGTAAATTCTTTTTTTTTTTTCTTTTTGGTACCAGGGATTGAACTCGGACCTTGTGCTTTCGAGGCAGGTGCCGGAACCACTGAGCTAAATCCCTGGCCCTAAGGTGGTAAATTCTATGTGTATTTTTCCACAATAAAAAAATAATGGCATAGGAGGGGCTGGAGATTTAGCTCAGTGGTTCCGCCGCCTGCTGCGCAAGCACAAGGACTCGAGTTCGATCCTCGATACCAAAATAAATAAATAATAATAATAATGGCATAAACTAGAGCTATAAAACTATGAAAAGACAGAGGAAACTTGAATGCACATTGCTTAGTGGGAGAAGCCAATCTGAAAAGGCAGCATCCTGTATGATCCTAGCATGTGACATTCAGAAAAGGAGAAAATATAGAGACAGTAAAATAATTGGTGTTTTCCAGGGACTGGGGGAGGGATGAGCAAAATGAAGAGGATTTTCTAAGGCAGCAAATCTATTCTGTAGGATATTACAATGACAGATATACATTTGTCAGAACCCATAGAATATATGACAGAATGGTGACCCTAAGGTCAACTACAGACTTTGGGTGGCAAAGATGTGTCAGCATAGGTTCATAGGTTGTAACAAAGGTACCTCTATGGACGGAGGCATTGAAAATATGGGACACTGTGGGTATAGGGGACAGAGGAATTTGGGAGTCGTATATACAACTCAAGTTTGCCATGAACCTAAAACTACTATTATTTTTTAAAAGTCTATTTTTTAAAAATTTCCCTCAAATTACTTAGTTTTAAATCTAGCCAATCAGCATCTGCATAAAAATTACAAAACACTGATAAAAGAAAGCTAAGAATGCCTGAGTGGGGAGACAAAATGCACTCATGGACTTAAAGAGTCAAACAGTGACAATGTCAACTCTCCCAAAGCTGATTTGCAGATTTAATAGGATTCCAAAAATCTTAGGATCTTGTAGACATAGGCAAATATTTATGAAGTTTCTTTGGCTAGGAAAAAAAAAATTAGAATAGCCAAAAGCAATTTTGAAATAAAGTTGGAGGAATGATACTACCTGACTTTAAAGATTTTTTAAAATAGTGACAGTAATCCAGACAGTATGGTATTGATAAAGGGATAGATGCATAGATTAATGAAAGGAGTTGAGTTTAGGCAACAGCCCTTACAAATAAAACCAACTGATTTCTGACAAAGGTGCAAAGACAATTGGATTGGAGAAGTACCTTTGTTTCTTCTTTTTTTTTTTTTGGTACCAGGTATTGAACTCAGGACTTTGCGCTTGAGAGGAAGGTGGCCGAACCACTGAGCTAAATCCCCGGCCCTGGAGAAGTACCTTTGACCACTTGTGTTGCTTAACAAAATACCTGAGACTGAGTGACTTGAAAACAATAGAAATTTATTCAGACAGTTCTGTAGGCTGGGTAGTCCAAGGTGAAGGTATTGGCATTTGGCATCTGATGTGGGTCTTGTTGCTTCATTCTCACCTGGTAGAAGAGTAAAAATGGCCTAAGCTTGTTCCTTCCAGCCCAATTACAAGGCACAGATCCATTAATGATGAGGGCAGAGCCCTGTGATTCTCCACCGGCCCCATGTCTTAACACCACCACAACAGGGACTTTGCTTCACAATGTGATTTTGGGGGGACACACTCCCACCATAGCAAGAAGGGACAGCCTTTTCCAACAAATGACATTGAAACAATTGAGTATCCAATATGGAAAAACATTGCAACCTAAACTCTATACTTTGCACAAAATTAAATCATAGATCAAAATACAAAACTGTGAAACATTTGGCATACAATAGAAGAAAATTTTTGTGACCTTGAATAAAAAATGAATAACAACACTCGGGGATTGTTTGTTTGGATATAAAAGGTCATGGAACAAAATCTCATTGTCCTTGCCAAAGCCACAGGGCGAACTTGGCTGTGGCAGTGATTGGTGGAAGAGGATTGAGTGGGCTCTTTGGAAGGAATATAACTCCTCTGCACCCCTTTCTTCACCAACTGTTCAGTCTTTGGGGGCCTCATGATTATTTTATAGGAACAGTGAATGGATGTATACCTGTATGCAAAAGAACCTTAAGTACAAAACACCAAGACAAACATTAAAAACAAACAAACATCAAAGCAGCATGGTCATGTATGTCTATAATCCCAGCACTTGGGAAGCTGAGGCAGGGGGATCACCACGAGTTTGAAGCCAGGCTGGGCTACAGAGTGAGTTTAAGGCCAGCCTGTACTCCATAGTGAGAATATATATCAGAAAGAGGTCTACAACAGAAAAATCAACTTGGAAAAAGAGAAGACTTGGCTATTGAAGGGTTATAGATCTACAGAAATCAAGATCGAATGGCACTGATGTCAAGAGGGACTCATGGTTCTCAGCTACGACACCAGTCCATGGAGCCATTGTTAGGGGCTGAATTCCTGACTCCCAGCACCTCAGAATGTGACTGTATTTGGATATAGGTCCTTTAAAGAAGTGGTTAATGTAAAATAAGGCCACTCAGTGAGCTCTAACCTAACTGACTGAGATCGTATAAAAAGAGATCAGAACCCAGACACACAGGGAGAAGATGCCATCTGCAAACCCAGGAGAGAGGCCTCGAGAGAAACTTGGATTTCCAGCCTCCAGGATGTGAGAAAATAAATGCTGTTTACGCCACTAAGTTGCGATGTTTGTAATGGTGGTCTCAGCTGCCAAATGCAGCAATGTCAAGTCATTTTACGATGTTTCCCTTGGGGGAGGCACTGCTGGGGCAGTGGGCAGGACCAATGATTTGGTTTAGCACCTTGTGATGCCCAGGATGGTGCCCCCAGCGGAGAATCATCTGCCTCAAACTGTTAACAGTGCTGTGGCTGAGAAACCGTGATTAGTAAATGAGATAAGTAAATGAGAAATAAATCAGTGAAACAGAATAAGGAGTCCAGAAATAGACCCCTAATTCTTATCAAATTAAACATATATGGATCACATGGCTCAGCAATTCTACTTGCAAATGTTTATTTGGGTGAAAGAGAAGTATGTTCACATAGACACCCTGCACCTGTATTCAGAATTACCAAAAGCCAGAGAAAATGAAATAAATCAGAAACAGAAGGTTAACTATCACACGGTTTCTCTTATATGAGAAACCCAAAATATAAATAATTTAGAGGACAAAATAAAAGATGACAGGGAACAGGGAGATAGATTTTGTGGAGATGGAGAGAGACACTTGAAGATCCAGGGAGACAGGCAGCGGGGAAGGGGAAGTAAAAATAAAAGAAAAAAAACCAGCCCAAGAAGGTCCAAACTGTCCCTTACCTTGGGAGTGGATAACTGTGTCACTGAATATACTGGAGGACAGCTTGGTAACACAAAGGAACAAACCACAATACACTCCACAGCATCCAAGAATCTCAGCACATCATGCTGAATGACAGGGGCTGGACCTGAGTGTTTCCATGCTATCGGATATCACTTCCATGGCACCCAGGAAGAAGCAACTGGGGAGGGGACATGACCATGTAATGGCCTCAGTGGGTGTGCAGGTTGTGGCAGTGGTGGAATATAGTGTTCTATGCAATAGGTTCTGTATCTTGGCTTTGGTAGAGGTTACCTATAGCTCATAGAAATGTAAATTTCACTGTAAGCAAATTGTACTTTATTATTACTCTTTTCAATCTTTTCCACCCTACAGATACCACATGTCCCTTCAGGATGGTGGGAGTACTTAACCCTAGTTCCTGGGAGCCAGGTGAGTGATAGGGCAGCCCCTGGGCTGACATTCTTGAATCCCTGTCTCAGTGTTCAGGGCCCCAGGTTTCCCCTGACCTCTGCATACTGGATCTTCCTAGGCTGAACAGTTCGACCCCCCAGCTCTGTGTCATCATCAGGCCTGCAGCTCAGATGCATCTGCCTTCCACCACGGACACAGGCAGTGGCCACAGAGCTCTCAGCTTCCTTGGCAGCCTTCGTTCGGAGTCATTTTCCTTCAGTGGGCATCAGCACAGCTCAGTAGTGCCCAGCCAACCTCCTGGTTCTGTGGGCACCACCCCCATCATTTTGTGCTTCCATGGGGCTCTCTTCCCCTGGCCTCCTCTAGTCATCACCAGTGAAACTGCTGACAACAGAGCCTCCATCTTGTCTTGGGGGCTGTCCACCCCTGCCCAGTGACCAGGAGGTGGCCTCTTTGTCCCCAAGGTGAACCATTCTAATCCTCTCTTCATCACTTTTCTCAGACCACTTCCTGCATTCCTGGTGCTGCTCTGGGATTTCCAGGGAGCAGATGCCAAGACAGGACCCAGCGTGGAGGATTTTTAATAGGGGAACCACCTGTGTGGGAGAAAGCAGGGAGGTGGCCCTAAGGCTGGGAAAGTGCAACCAGGGTGAGGTTCTCACCGTGAGTACAGTAGAGTGGAAAGGCAGTGTGCTGGTCATGCCATCTGAGAAAAGCCTGGCATGGCCTCCAGGGAACCCTTCTACCATTTCTCATCAGAGGACCGTCCGATGTGCCAACAACAAGCCTGCAGAGATCGCAATCCTGGGGAGCAGCCCAAAGCTTTGGTGTAAATGAACCACTGGATTTCAGCTCTCATTTGCTGGGCCTTTGGACAATTCCTCTCCCTACAGCAAGCTCAGTAGGTATACAAAACACCCTATGTAACAACTTTTGCCTACAGTCAAATAAAGATTGCAGCCCCAACATTGTAACTGTTTTTTTCAAGGACATTTGATATGTTAACAAAAGATTAAGTAAGTGTAAACTATGTCTTGGAACACTTAGAAAATACACTGTACCCAAAATGCAATTATGTTACAACTTCATGAAAAAATTTAACTAGAACATTCATATAGGTTTAGATATTAGAAAATGTTATTATCAACATTAGTTGAATCAAAGTAGTTAATTTCATGAAATAAGCAATTCAAAGTAGTTAAATCAAATACAATAAAGATGCTATTTGTCAAATTTAGAAAAATGACTTCAGAAAAGAATTGAAAGGCTTAAATAGAAGTACACCTGGTCCTATAGTAACTTAATTTTTTCCTGAAAATCCTGCCAGTAGCAGAAAAACCAGTAGACAAAATAATATTCCCATTAACTTTAGAAATAAAAGTTATGGGCTGGGGATTTAGCTCAGTGGTTCGGCCGCCTGCCTTGCAAGCGGAAGGACCCGAGTTTGATCCCCGGTACCAAAAAAAAAAAAAA